TTGACAATAAATTAGGTGCCAGCAGCAGGCTTTTGACAAGTTTCTTCAGTTTATAGTTTGAGATGATCTGGGGCTTTTTTGGTTGTTTGTTCCCTTAGTTTTCATATTTTTGTAGCTGTGAATTCAACATTTGGTGGAAGCTCCGCTTCTCTCCTAAGAGAATAAGAAGCCAAACTGCTCTCAAGGTGTCTTCTCTTTCCTGCATCCTCCAAGGTGGATAACTCCTGAGATTGCCCTGCCATCGCTACAAAGAGGAAGGAGGCATTTTCTGAGTGTTTTGTGTCTCGGCCTTTCCAGAGGCTAAGATGTGTGATATTCCAAGCAAGTCTGTCACGTAGATATTAAAACCACATTTTTCAGATAAGAAATGTGAGATTTACAATGTAAGTTCCTCTTGATATTCATGCCCACAGTATCACAAAAAAACGGTACAGTCGGTCATCCAACACTAGGCTTGGTTTAACCACACCCACGTGCCTTCCATTGCACATGGCACATGACTAGAAATCGAGAAAAGGAGGGTGAGGACCGAGGGATGTGTGTGACATTAGTCAATATTGCTTCATCTCGTGGGACCTCAGTTAATAATGAGGGAGCTGGGCTTGATGACTCAAAAGGTCTCATTCAGTCTGGTCCTTTGGGCTCTGAAATTTAGCATACAATCTTATCAAAGTTATGAATCCTCCAGAGATTTTGTTTCCTCTTCCATAAATTCCCTCTCAACTGTTCTGTTTGGACATGTGAAAATTTATAAATTATAAAGCATTGTACCTAATACCCCCTGTAAGAATCGAGTTGATTCTCACAGAATCCCTATAGAACAGAATTGAGCTCCTTCCTGGGGTTTCTGAGATTATAAATATTTATAGGTGCCAACAGCCTCATGTTTCTCCCTCAAAGTGTTTGGTGGGTTTGAACTGCCCATTTTTCATTTAGCAGTCTAAAGTTTAGCCCACAATTCTACCAAACCCAAACCAAACTTGCTGCCACCTAGTCTATGCTGACTTGACCCCCTGTGGGCTTCCAAAACTGTAACTGTTTATGAGTAGAAAGCCCAGTGTTTCTCTTGAGGAGGTGCTGGTGGTCTCGATCTGGTGACCATGTGGACTACAGCACAGTGTGTAATCACGACACCACCAGGGTCCCTCTGCAGTTCTACCAGGGCGTCTTATGAAACACTACAGGGATGTTGTTAGATGCCATTGAGTCGGTTCCACCGCCATGACAGCCTGTGCAACAGAACAAAGCCCTGCCCAGGCCTGCACCGCCCTCACTACGCTTCCACCCTAGAGTCCAACACACCGCTCTGTGTCCGTCCGTCTTGCGGAGGGAGAGAATATGCTACCATTCCTCCCCGTCCATCACCTGACAAATCCTCAAGCGCAGGCACCCAATCTCACTCTGTCCTTCACCAGATTTCTGCATCCTATGCTATGGAACACAAATTAACAATTTATCGAAGATCAAAATTGTCAAAACTTTCGCTAAGCTCAGATCCACAAATCAAGAAATCAAAGGACACAATTGCACGAGGCAAATCTGTGGCAAAGACCTCTTTCAAGTGTCAAAGGGCAAAGAGGTCCCTTTGCGGACTAAGGTGTGCTTTAACCCAAGTCAAGATCTTTTTTTTTTTTTTAACATTTTATTACGGGCTCATACAACTGTTATCCCAATCCATACACACATCAATTGTGTAAAGCGCATTTGTACATTCATTGCCCTCATTGTTCTCAAAACATTTCCTCTCCACTTAAGCCCCCAGCATTAGGTCCTCATTTTTTCCCTCCCTCCCCACTCCCCCCTCCCTCATGAGCCCTCGATAGTTTATAAATGGGTATTTTGTCATATCTTGCCCTGTCAAGATCTTTTATTCACCTCATATGCTTGTGAAATCAATAAGGAAGATGAGGGTGGGAAATGATGCCTTTGAATTATGGCGTTGGTCCGAAATATTGAAAGTACCATGGGCTGCCAGAAGAACAAACATCTTTTCTGAATGTGTAGCCATAATACTATGTAGACATGAGAATGGCAAGACTCATCCCATGTATTTGGACGTGTTATCAGGAGAGACCAGTCCCTGGGAAAGGTCACCATGCTGGGTCAAGCAGCGGGTCTGCAAAATAAAGGGAGTCCCTCAATAGAGTGGATTGACAGAGCGACAACAGTGTGCTGAAATGTAACAATTGTGAAGATGGTAGGGCCGGGCGGTGGTTTTGTGTGTTCTTCCTAGGGTGGGTCAGAATCAACGCAAGGACACATAACAACAACTACCACAACTTTCCACATGCTTATTCGTATACTTCAGAATTTCTCTTCTTTTCTGCAATTATTTTTGGAAAAGAGTATCTTCCCAGATAAAGCAATAGGTTAGAATGTAGACTGAAGTCAATTTGGGTGAAGGGCAAGTAGTATTCTCCAAAAGTGAAAAATCAATCAAAGGGGCTTTGTGGACCAGGATACACTATTGGAGGATTTCAAAAATAGTTGAATCCAAACTCAACGATCTGAAATGTATCCCTCCACCTAACTCACAACAGATTATCTTGTTAATCATTTTTTTTCCAGTTATTATTATTTTATTTTCTTTGCTCCATTTTTGAATCAATACTCAAGGCTATAGTCTTGGATTTCATTAGTCATTTCTTTATATTCTATTCACTTTCATCAAGAAATATCTCTGTCTCAAGTTATTAATTTGATTTTCTTTCATCCTGATACCACATTCTTTATTATGTTTAGTTTTCCAGAGTTAATCATTTTTATTTGCTCTCAGTTGCCTCCTGTGTGGCCCCATTTCCAATTATTCTCTTTATCATTCCTTTTGCTTAATCTTCTAGGATATTTACATATATCAGTTCTCATGAAACTGTCCAAGACCCTGAGAATGCCTCATACTATCTCTCTCTTTCGCTTGCGGTTGTCCTTTTCCAACTAACTGCTTTGTAAAAATAACTATTTGGGTTCAGTGGTCTCACGTCTTCACGTCCCACTCCACATTCCCTTGGCTTTGTATTTGAACGATATGCAAGTTTTATTTTCTTTTGTTGATCTGACCGCATTCTGTATGGAATCCTGTAATGACTCTTCAAAGGATTAAAAATGCTTTGAAACTTCCCATCTTTTCTTTTATATGGATTGTGATCAGAGTTGTATGAACCCCAATAAAATGATTTAAAAATAAAAGTTTATGCTAGGTGTTTTTAGCCTTCTACCTCACTTCGAAGTTATATGTGTGCATGCCGTATTTCCTCTTTTAAAATTTAATCAGGTGCAGTAGGGTTAAAATGTATTCTCTTATAATTTCTTCCCCCCTTTACTCATTTTAATGTTGTTTCAGTTTTTTAAAAAAGCAAACGTGGAGTACATGTGGATTCAGCCTCCAGTGACCTCCTCTGATCATAAACCAGGAATGTGCATAGACTTGCTCTCCTGTGGAAGGCATTGGAACGTGGATTATTTCAGATATAGTTAGGTTAAACTGGAGTACTTTATCATTTGATCTCGCTTAGGATCCATTTTAAATTTATCCTAGTTTTTAATATTTTCTGCTTTCTTTTCGATTGAAGAGTTTCTGTTTTACTTTGCTACTGTTGTTAGTTTTAAAAAATGTTTTCTGTATATGAAATCCAAGATATATAAATCTATAGCGGGATTAATGGTCTCTTGGGGGATGACAGGGACAGTTGAGGGGAAATGGGGAGGTAATAACGATGAGGACAAGAATGAAGAAAATGTTCTAGAACTGGTTGTGGTGCTAAACGATGGAATCGTCTGCTATGTGAATTAAATGCTGATACAACTGTTAATAAAAGAAAACACCATGAAAAATGTAATCCCCGAAACAAGCATATATGCTGTCCTTCCCATTCTGCCCACAGAACCTCGTGCAATCCTTTTACACGGGATCCACCATTGGCAAACAGTAGTTGCAGGGAAGAAGAGATGAATGGAAGAGTGTTGCTTCTGGGACGTGGACAAAGGGTATCTTTAAAGGAGCTATCCATGAATATACCCGTCATCCTGCAGCTGGCTACGGTCCCATCACCCTACACCTTGCATAAAGAAGCCTCCCACGGGAAGATTTTTGCTCCATATGTACTCTTTCCCACCCAGAGCCTCTAAGCTCAGCATTCTACTCCGACATAGTAGGCTGCACATCTCCGCCCTGAGCTTCATTTCGCACAGACACTAGTGATCTATTGCCGCTGGAACAAGTCTATTAAAAAGCACATGGTACAGTTCTTTCCCCTGGGTCCAGCTTTTAGCTCTTCTGATGCACTTACTTGCAATGAAGAAAAATTGGTAGAGTGCTCTGGGGCAGCGCACAGACATTTCAACAGTTGAAAATCGGATATTTGTAGTTTGTAGACAATTGTATTGTAGCCAATAAAGAATTCAGGGAATTCAGGGAATGAGATGATTAGCAAAAGTAGAGAGCAGAAACAGGAAAAGGTATCATTAAAGAAAAGTTTAAAGGCCGTAAAAATCTGCCTACATCTAGAACTAATGCATTCTCCCAAAGTGCCTACCCTAAATATTTACATGTGTACTGTAGGAAGCTGGAGGAACTGAGAAGAAAACAAAAACATGTTTAGTCTTGGTAATAGTAATAATAATAACAGTATTTGAAAACTTTGAAAAGTAGCTAGCATTGGTTGATTGCCTCCCGAGTAAAAGCACGCAGTTCAGTGCTTTATCATCTGGTATCATTGATCCTCATGTTACCCCTACTCTATATGCATTCGTCTCTTTATAAATGAGCTAACTGAGGTGAAATTCATGGTCGTTAAGCACCTTGCTGCAGTGCACAGAGCCAGAAGGTGTCAGAGCTAGTAATTCTAGAAGAATAAAGGATGATAATCAAATACAGAACTCATTTTATAATGAAATGATATGAAACAAATAGTGTTAGCCCCATGAAATGGTTTGTGGTTCCAAGAACCTCTGTCTGTCACTGACATGACTGTGCAGTGCACACCGTAGAGGCATGGACTTACTCTCTGTCGATCACCAGGCAGGTGACAGCTTCTGCCGCGATGACATTCGCTGTCCTCACGTCTTCCCTATGAAAAAAACAATAGAGATCTTGAAGTAAAATACTTGAAATGTCAAACAAACATGTTCATCATGATTAATTCAAGAAACATTAAATTATGTCATCTTTGTTGATTTAGCTACTTCTAAATGCAAGCTTTATTCATGTCTCAATGTCTTTGTTCTGAGAAACCACCTTACACATGTTATTAAGCTCACAAATCCAGTAGCTATAATTTTCATATTTGAAGCTTCCCGTACAAAACTGAAATCAAAATTGATAGCATCATTTCCTGTGTTCTTCAGCAAATCAGTTGAATGATGATAAGGGCAGTAATGAACAAGAATAGATGAGATAAGGGAAACAAGAAGAAGGTAAGGAAAACAGTAAAAATATGATCATGAAATAAGAAGCAATGGTCACAGAACATAACTCCGCTTTTGTCAGTCATGATATAAAAAACCTCCACTCTTGTCAGTCATGACGTTAAAATATATATATTTCTTGGCCTCCCTCCTTCTGGGAAATATGAAAACCTAGACTTAGCTCCCAAGTGGATAAACATTTAGGAAATTGATGAGATTGAAGATAACACCAGATATCTGCTGTCACATCTCTGGAAAGTAACTTGGAAATATTCATTAAACATGAGAAATACCTATACAATGTGTATCCCACTTTTGTGGATTTTATTTGTGGATCAGTGTGGGATACAGAAAGATTTCTCCCACGTTGTCTCTCCCAAATATATGCCAAACCCAAGACGCTGCTTGCTACACATAGTCAATGACTGTACACTAGGGGGTCAGTGAAAGTAGGTCAGAGGTTATTCTCCCGAAGGGTATCAGCCATCTAGAGCAACCAGACTGTATAGTCTGACTCACCCTGAGTAGGGCCCACTCCCTTCTGACATTGTTCCCTTGACGGAGTGCCGGAAGGCAAGCCCGGGACCACTCAAGGATGACTAAGGTTAGGCTACTAGATTGAGTCTAAGGTCCACTTATCTGGTCACATATGTACCCTTATTCCCTCCCTTTACTATTGCACGTACACCCCTAGGTCATCCCCCTCCCATTGCTTGTATTGCCTATGTTACAACCCCTTCTCATGTTGTACTTTGGTATCTGTAATCAGAGGGCTTGCATGCCCCCAAAGATATATAAGCTTTGGTTAGAAATAATACCTCACGAGAGCTCTCTCCTGCCCTCTCGTCCCCCACCTCCACGTGTACCAACAAGAGGAGCTGAGGTGAGCATGCTACTATGAAATATGTCTGACTTCTTTCTTTTACTCTCTGTCTCCCATTTCTCCATGACTTTGCTATAATGTTTGCATATCTTAACCATACAATTGCGCCTACCGGACCCATGATTAGTTGTGGGGGGCTGGTTACCCCCACAGATCAGTGTAAACTAGGGCAGCTTATTGTATTGATCTTTTATGTGTTTGTGTGAGCATGTTTGTGCATGAGTGTGTCGGTGTTGCTGTGTGGGAGAGGGGTTATTGGAATGAACCTGACTATCTCCCAACAAGAGAAAGGGTGAACAAATTGTGATACTGAAGTTTTTGAAAGATTGGGGTTAGAGAGCCAGGTATTGACTAAGACGATGAATGTTTATTTCTGTGTGTGTTAATAGGATATGTGTAGTGATTTCTAGAGTAAAATATATTTTACTTCAAAACAGACAAAAAACTGTAAAATTGCATATACATGTATACATGTTCTAGAAGCATGGAAAGGTATGTTCAAGGATGCCCATCAGGATGCTATTATTGATTACTATTACCCCAATGATGGTGGCATGGTTATTGATATTTCTTTTTATATAATTCTATTGTTTGATTTTTTTAGAGGTTGCTCAAGGAAGCAAATATTGCTATAAGTTGCTCCCAGTCTAAAAAATTCAACAAAATGAAAACATCAAAGCCTTATAAAAATACATTAAAACTAGCTCTTCATAATTACATGTCCCTGTCTTGACAATGAGGAGCCCTGGTGGCACTGTGGGTAAGGTGTTGGTCAGGAACTCAAACCCACTTGGCACTCTGGAAAGATGAGGGCGTCTGTTCCCATAGAGGTGTAAAGTCTTAGAAACCCTATCATTTACTCATTGGCACTGGGGGTCTGGGGGTTGTTTTATTTTTTCAGTTTGGTAGTGCTGTGGGTTAGGCACTGGATCAATAACCACAAGGTTGGTGGTTCAAACCTACCAGCTGCTCCATGGGAAAAACATGAGGCTGTTCGCCTTTAATGCTGAAGTTAGTCAACCCTACGTGGGGCTGTGATGCGTCCAAGTAGATAGACGGTCACAGCAATCTCCACTATATAGAAATGGCCCCTCGCATTTTAAAAATGAAACAGATGCCCAATAATGCTTCAATATGCCTGTATTTTTTGTGCATGTAAAAATTTAAAAGCAGTTTCCATCACAAACTATACATATTTTAAGTTGCTATATTGAAAATATCTCAATATTTTCAAATGGTACCTTTTTACCTGGCCTAAATTACGTACACTTTTACAAATAACTGCAGTTTAATTTTAACAAAATTAAAGCACTCTAATTTTTTAAAATGTAGATAGGAAGAAAAAAATCAAAGGTCCAAAGAGTGACATGTTCAATCGAAACTGAAAATATTTTTATTTCAAAAAGAAAAACCCTACAAGTTACTGGTCTAGAATCAAGTTCAGTACCGTGTGATTTGACACAGAATGAAACTGAGAAGGATGGCACGGAGCGAAACAACACATTAAACAACACCTTCCAATAGTGGCCACTTATTGAGTCACGAGTATATGTCAGGACGTGATGTTAAATTCACTCCTGTGACAAATGGTGGCCATTTTATCCCCACCTCACATATGGGGGGAAGCTAAGTAGCAGCATAAAGTCGCCCCTCGCCTACTCGGTGGCAGCTGTGAAGTTTGAACAGAGACCTGTGATGCCAACATCCCTGTCCTTCTCCCGGGTAAAGTGCATCACTCACACACGTTCGCGTTGTCACTCAACAGCTCCAAATTCTTTTGAATGTACAATGCGCTCGCTCTCTGGGTATTATGAAAATTCTATTTAATTACAGTATGTAAGAAAATGACACAGATTCTTCTGGGCATCGCATTGTTTTCTTAATCATAATGTTACATGACCAAAAGGAAATTAGTTAATACCAAACTCATTTAATGTCATGTTCTTTTCTCCATTACACTGTCATTGAATGGCTCCTGTTAAGGAACTGATGTGTGTGTGTGTTTATATATTTATATATACATATAGATTTACTTACATATGTTTGCCAATGAGATTGTGACTTGCTATGCATGTTTACCCTTCCAGGGTCCAAGCACCAGGCTAAAGCAGATTTAATTTGGATGAAGGTACAAAATACTGTATAGAAGGGGCTTCAAACTGTGAAAATAATTAAAAGATAAACAGATTTTTTCTGCAAACTTTTTGAAGCCCCTCACACTCTTGCAAAAGAGAGGCCCTAAGAATTCAATGCAGTTATTTTACCACCTCTCTCTCCTTACATAACTGTTAGGACAGTAACTATGTATCAAGTTAGGCAGGCCTTCTGACTGGGTTAGAGGTGCTTAAAGGGGTTGAGAGAGATGACTGTTTTCTTTCTTTTTTCATTTGAGTTTCCTTCCTTCCAGGGCTCCCTCCCCCTTCTCCTCCCATTCCCCCTTCCTCCCTCCCCATTTTGTCTCTTTTCTCCTCTCTTTATTTCTATATAAAAAAATTTTTTTTTAGAAGAACAGGGCATTTGGTCATTTCTAGGCAAAGAATGCATGCATATTTTCAAAGCATTGATCACAGGTATTTTATCATTTGAATGATAAGTTATCCTGTCTATTTAATTTAAAAGGTTTGTCAAACACATCACTGCTGAACACCCAGCAACTTAGGAGTCTGTACCCAGTCCGCGCAGACACATCCATAGCACAGCCCAGTCTCCCACGCGCACGCACCCATCCATTCCTGGCTCAGCTCAGAACGAGACCTGCTCCTCATGGTCTAACTGCAGAAGCAGCCCTGCTCGGCCCCATAACCAATGCTTCATTTATACACTTACTATTGATTAATGAATAAAGCTATGCAGTTTAGTAGTTTTCTCTTTTTAGGCATCTTTTGGAGTTGTTAGAAATGCCTTCCGATGAAATGACAGTACATGAAAAAAAATCTAGAACAGCATTTGCAAATACAGTTTTCTGTGCACTGACTCTGATATTCTTTGATCTTCGTCACTGGAATCCTCATCATCGCTGTATCCCAAAGTGGAGTCACTGTCAGTATCTGAATAATCCATAGCAAGTGCGCACACGGACTCTTCTGCTTCTGAAGTAATTCTCCCGTGCCTCAAGCCTGCAGGCATGCCCCGAGACCTCAGGGGAACAAACAGTGCACAGGCCAAGGCAGAACATAGTTCAAGCAAAGTAGCTGTCTGAGCTGGGGCTCTCCCTTTTCAGCTCTGGGTCAACTTGACGGCTGTCAACAGAGACCTAGTGTTCCCTCAGTGGCAGCCTTCGTGGAAACTGACACTAATCGTTTATGAGCACACAGGTTGAGCCCTACTTTCTCTGTCAAGTGCAACTGTTTAAAGTCGCCAGTTAAATCTGGTTCCTCTAAGACAAAGCAAATCCTTTTCATCTCAAAATCAAAGGCAATCTTACTACACGTAGGATAATCAAAATCAATAGGATATGAAAAGCACCAAGAAGCCACTTAAAATGAGATTATCGTGTTGAATGAATTATGAACTAGATTTGCAAAGTTTGCGGCAAATCTGACTGTGATATTTAAAAATTGGGTCCCCGTGCAAAACAAACAAATAAAAATAACAACAGTTCTTTCAGAAAAAAGTCATTTCAAGCCAGCCACTGACTACTTCCCACTCAGTTATAAAGCAATTGCAAGATGATTTATACCTCAAGCACTCTATAGAGCTTGCATACCAAGAGTAAAATCAACAGATACATGCAAATAGTTATATGCCTTCCACTCATGTTAGCACAGAGAATGCAAGTGA